TATAATATAAGTGTGAGCTCTTCTCTCATTACCATGACAACACATTACTATAATATCAGTGTGAGCTTTTCCCTTATTTACATGACAACACTTCAAAATTCAGTGTGAGCTTTTCTCTCATTACCCACATTATATGATTCTTGTTGACTTTTCACTTTACACACAAACTTTATATTTCAGTGTGATTTCCCCTCAAAAACTGAAAAACTACTAAATTAAATTGGTTTCTCTAAATCCCAACATTATTTAAATCAGTTGAGCTTACCTCATTACCATGAAACAATTTTTAAAAAATTCATGGGGAAACTTCTCATCCCATACAAAAACTCCCAAATTTCAGTGTGATCTTCTTTTTCCCATAAACCACTTACTAAATTCCCGGTTTGCTTTTCTTCATTACATGAAAACAAACTAAATTTATGGGGATTTTTTCCATTCCCATGACATCCAAAACTGTGATTCATTGGTTTTTCTCATTCCCCATGACACCAACTAAATTCAGTGTGACCTTCTCATTACATGAAAACACTAAAAATCAGTTGTGAGTTCCCCAAATTTTCCCATGAAACAATTAATTAAATTGTGTGATCTTCTTTTTTCCCATAAAAACACTTAATAATTTAATGTGGTCTTCTTTTTACCATAATAACTATTATTTTAAAATATCAGTGTGACTCTTCTAAATTTACATGGAAACCATTATTTAAAATCAGGTGATTTTCTTTTTATTAATGAAAACATTATTTAAATTCGAGGGTACTCACATTGCCATGACAACACATTACTATGATATCAGTGTGAGCCCTTCTCTCATTACCATAACAACTCATTACTATAATATCAGTGTGAGCTCTTCTCATTACCACGGCAACACATTACTATGACATCAGTGTCAAATCTTTTCTCATTACCATGACAACACATTACTATTATATCAGTGTGAGCTCTTCTCTCATTACCATGACAACACATTATTATAATTTCATTGTGAGCTCTTCTCACATTACCATGACAACACATTACTATAATATCAGTGTGAGCTCTTTTCTTATTACCATGACAACACATTACTATAATATCAGAGTGAGCACTACTCACATTACCATGACAACACACATTACAATGATATCAGTGTGAGCTCTTCTCTCATTACCATCACAACGTATTACTATAATATCAGTGTGAGCTCTTCTCTCATTACCATGACAACACATTACTATGATATCAGTGTGAATTCTTCTCGTATTACCATGACAACACATTACCATGAAAACAGTGTGAGCTCTTCTCTCATTACCATGACAACACCTTACTATAATATCAGTGTGAGCACTACTCACATTACCTTGACAACACATTACGATGACATCAGTGTGAGCTCTTTTTCTCATTACCATGACAACACATTACTATGATATCAGTGTGAGCTCTTCTCTCATTACAATGACAACACATTACTATGATATCAGTGTGAGCTCTTCTCTCATTACCATGACAACACATTACTATAATATCAATGTGATCTCTTCTCGTATTACCATGACAACACATTACCATGAAAACAGTGTGAGCTCTTCTCTCATTACCATGACAACACCTTACTATAATATCAGTATGAGCACTTCTCACATTACCTTGACAACACATTACGATGATATCAGTGTGAGCTCTTTTCTCATTACCATGACAACACATTACTATGATATCAGTGTGAGCTCTTCTCTCATTATAATGACAACGCATTACTATGATATCAGTGTGAGCTCTTCTCTCATTACCATGACAACACATTACTATAATATCAATGTGATCTCTTCTCGTATTACCATGACAACACATTACCATGAAAACAGTGTGAGCTCTTCTCTCATTACCATGACAACACCTTACTATAATATCAGTGTGAGCACTTCTCACATTACCTTGACAACACATTACGATGATATCAGTGTGAGCTCTTTTCTCATTACCATGACAACACATTACTCTGATATCAGTGTGAGCTCTTTTCTCATTACCATGAAAACACATTACTATGATATCAGTGTGAGCTCTTCTCTCATTACCATGACAACACATAACTATGATATCAGTGTGAGCTCTTCTCTCATTACCATGACAACACATTACTATAATATCAATGTAATCTCTTCTCGTATTACCATGTCAACACATTACCATCAAAACAGTGTGAGCACTTCTCTCTTTACCATGACAACACCTTACTACAATATCAGTGTGAGCACTACTCACTTTACTTTGACAACACATTACTATGATATCAGTGTGAGCTCTTCTCTCATTACCATGGCAACACATTTCTATGATATCAGGATGAGCTCTTCTCTCATTACCATGAAAACACATTACTATGATATCAGTGTGAGCTCTTCTCTCATTACCATGACAACACATTACTATAATATCAGTGTGAGCTCTTTTTCTCATTACCATGACAACACATTACTATGATATCAGTGTGATCTCTTCTCTCATTACCATGACAACACATTACTATGATATCAGTGTGAGCTCTTCTCACATTACCATGACAACGCATTTCTATAATATCAATGTGAGCTCTTCTCTCATTTCCATGACAACACATTACTATGCTATCAGTGTGAGCTCTTCTCTCATTACCATGACAACACATAACTATGATATTATTGTGAGCACTTCTCTCATTACCATGACAACACATTACTATGATATCAGTGTGAGCTCTTCTCTCATTACCATGACAACACATTATTATGATATCAGTGTGAGCTCTTCTCTCATTACCATGACAACACATTACTATAATATCAGTGTGAGCTCTTCTCTCATTACCATGACAACACATTACTATAATATCAGTGTGAGCTCTTCTCTCATTACCATGACAACACATTACTATAATATCAGTGTGAGCTCTTCTCACATTACCATGACAACACATTACTATAATATCAGTGTGAGCTCTTCTCTTATTACCATGACAACACATTACTATAATATCAGTGTGAGCTCTTCTCTCATTACCATGACAACACATTACTATGATATCAGTGTGAGCTCTTTTCTTATTACCATGAAAACACATTACTATTATATCAGTGTGAGCTCTTCTCTCACTACCGTGACAACACATTACTATGATATTAGTGTGAGCTCTTCTCTCATTACCATGACAACACATTACTATAATATCAGTGTGAGCTCTTCTCTCATTACCATGACAACACATTACTATAATATCAGTGTGAGCTCTTCTATCATTACCATGACAACACATTACTATAATATCAGTATGAGCTTTTCTCTCATTACCATGACAACGTATTACTACAAAAGACAGCGCATCACTATGACATTACTGTGAACTCGTCTCTCATTACTTTGACAACATATAACTATGACATTCCTGTGAGCTTTCCTTACATTACCGTGACAACACATTGCCATGGTAACACATTACCATGGCAACAGATTACCATAACATAACAGAGATATTCTCACATTACCATAACAACACTTAGCTATGACATAACTGTGACCTTTTCACACATTACTATGACAACTTATCAGTTTTACATTATGCATACAAGGATAAAATATAATTATTGCATTACTGTGATCTTTTCTCACATTTCCATTACAAGACATCACCATGATGTTTCTTTGATCTTTTACCATGATAATGCATCACCATGACATAATTATAAGATCTTCTTACATTGGCATTTGTTAAAGATTTAAGTTTTTTTTAGATAGTGACAATTTCATTGTTAAGAACCTACTGTCTATTGACTGGGGCTTAAAATGAAAAAAGCGGGTTGAAATGCCAGCTTCCGGACAAAATTCGTAAAAATATTTAATTTTTGGTTCAAAATATCTCAAATTTAAAATTCAATGAACAAATTTTGAGTAACGTACATAAACATTGTCATTTAGATTCATGCTTGCCAAATATAAACCAAGTGTGTCTTGTTCTAATACACGAGAATTGTGTTTATGTCGGTGAAATTCCTACGAGAGTAAATTTTACCAAATGTCCTTATCAGACAAAAAATGTTTTGAAATCGTCGAAAAAAAATTAGAACAAATAAACAGGTCCTGTGAAGTTTACTCCAATGACCAGAACATTATGATATCTGCAAACGGCACAAGGGCTGCGCGTTTTTCCAGCGTCTTTATGACGTCAATGTCGAGTAAAAATGCTTTTTTAAAGATTTGCCGCCACAAGCAATACAACGTTGGTCTCGTGGATTTATATCTTGTACCATAAGGAGTCGTATCGCTCGCGCTTGAAATATTGCTATGCACGACACCTGGTGTTTTCTGCCAACGGTAAAGCTAAACCGTTTTACTGCATCCATAATTTTTGTTTAGGACACACGCCTCGTGTTGTGGAATGGCACTGACGTGTAATGTAACACTGAGGCTTTGTGGTAACGGCAGAATGAACATGTCAGCGGACGTTTATTTATATATTCAAAATGGTACCATTTCATAATGAATGTTGAATTCTGTTTTAGCCGATGTTTAGGGGACGTGGATGATACCTTGCATTTTCCAGTACCAACCTTGAACAGAAGTGGTTTACTTTTTAAGATGTTACTCTGTATGAGTAAGTTGATGAGAGAGATCAATGTGTTTAAAATATTTCAAGAAGTATATAATCTCTTTTTAAAGACACACTATGCCTCAGAAATAAATATAACAAAAATCGTTTACAGAGAGCAAAAGGGAATTTTGTTACAGTAAAATTATGGTTTAAAACATGTTAGATGTTTATTACCTGAAAAGGAGTGCTGAATGAGAAATAACTTACTAGTAGCAAAATATAAACAAAGTACATGTAGAATTTTGACTTTCATACGCAGTACTAAATAAATATATTTGTGCTCATTGCCTAGAAGCAACAGAAGCAAAAGCTGATTCGGGTAATTGGCAAGTAAGTAACCGTTTTGGAAACTAAAATGGGACAAGAGAAATGCAAGGATTATACGAAATAAAAATAAAAGTATACTTGGACGTTTTACAAACAACATTAATCGGTACATATCTATATATCGTATCAAAGCCAACATAAAGCACGTACAAATATTATTATGCAATAGACCAAACATTCCTTTTGAATAGTTTATTTTGCACTGATTGCACATGATATTATTTCTCAATCGCTTTATTTTATTACTACTCTATTTGTTTTGTATCATGTTAATGTCCAGTTGGAAACACGTTGACAGAATGGAAAACTTTAACATTGCAATCTTGTCCAATCGTCTGTATATATAAAAGGTGTTTCTAACGACCAATACCACTGCAGGGATATCCTTTACAATTGTTAAGATACACATGGTCGTAGTCCTTTCCACAAATATTTCCAGCTTTTACTTCAAATTTTCCAGATGAACTAGATATCGGACAATTGTGATTCCACCCGATAACTGTTCTTCCTCGTAAAATGGCGGATTTCGTGCATCTTACCTGAAATATATTTGAGCAAGATGAAAAAACAAAACGACCGTTTCCGTAAAAAGAAATTGTTTGGATGTGTACTTAGAAAGTAATTTTGTGGTTTCATGAGATGTTTGCATAATTATCTATTTACTACGTACATAACAATATCATCATCAACAACAACAACAACATCATCGTCTTTATCGTCATCATTATCGAAATCGTAGCCGAAGTCGCTTGACTTGAACATGGCAAATACAGAACTGTATAAGTTACATAGTTGTTTTAGTAAAAGGCACACCAAACTCATCTTGAAAAAAAACCTACTATTTAAGACAGCCATAAAAGTTATTACCGTATCGGAGCACAACTGAACCCCACAACAGGTTATAAGAAAAGGGGCGTGACCTTGTGGTTCAGATGCCTGCTTCTCAACCCAGGGATCATGGGTTAAAGCCTTAATCGGGTCACGTGCACGTTTCTTCATATGGCACCAGTACTGGTTGGTTACATGAAACGGACTCGTAAGTATTATTATAAGTTGCAAGAACTTGTTTTGCAGTAGAGCTTAAATAAATATGTTTAAACCAATAGATAATAAGAAAACAAGTATACAAAACAGAATATTCATAAATATAAGTTCGAAACAATAATATATAAAAGATGTAAAATCAGTATACCCTTGCACCATTGAACGAAACAAAAACGTATCCATAACCAATTTGTTTGAACGAGCAGCTGGTGCAGCTACAATTGGTTATCTTGATCTCGCTGATCCTTGAAGCTGGAGGTGCTACTACTGAACCCACGAGTACAAGGGTAATGAAAACTGAGAAATAAATACCGTCCATCATACTGTTTTCTGAAAAACAACGAGCAAATACAATGTATTTTAGAAACGTGTGAAATGGCATTTTGAAAAAGTACGACATAAATTTACACTTGACTTTTTGTGATCTGCTCGGGCAGAAAATCAAAAGTAAAATCAGTCTTCCAAATAGTTTTTTTTAAATTCTATTCATTATTCATGGGGTTAAGTGTAGAGCCCGCTGAGTAACCCAGATATATATTGTTTTTATTTGTTTGTTTGTTTTTTTGTTCTTTGTTGTTGTATTTTGTTGTTGTTGTTTTTGTTGTTGTTTTTTTTAAGGGGAATCAATATTTATGTCAGAAACAGCGTGAATTTCGGATAGTCGAAACTCGCTGTTTCACTTAATGAAAAGAAAAATATTGATTTTTTTACAAAAAGTCATTTTGAGTTTAGATTATTGACTAGAACGAGTAGGCCGTACACTTCACCCCATCAAAAATAATGAACTATAAAAAAAAAATATGACAGAAAATCTAAAAGAAACCGGTATTTGCCCCACGCAGATCACAAAATGTCACGTGTGTAAGGAAAAAAGATCTGTATTTTGACAGTCTGTAATTCGTAGAATAGTTCTTTGTATCTATGGCTGTAGATTTCAGATGTAGGGGTCTGGGATTAACGTCTTCGTAAGGTTTTATTTAGGTATGATTTATTTTCGTACATTAATGCAGTTCACGTAACGTTATTGACACGTTTCTTTAAGCCTCCTATCACAAGGATGACTAAGCAATTCAAGCGTATAGGCCCACTAGTTATTAAAATATCTAGCTTAACATTGTGCGTAATGCAAGTACATTTATTGTAATTACATTTTTGTTTTAAATTTTAATGCGCCTTGTCAAATTTAATTTCCGTGTATACATTGTATGTATAACTTTCAATCCCCCCCCCCCCCCAAAAAAAAAGAAAAACAAAAACAACAACAACAAAATAATCTACTAATACATACACGTAAAAATTGCATTCAGGTCCAACTATATGTAGATCTAGCCATAGTCGTAAATCATTCCGAATGTATATTTTATACATATAAGCCGTTCTTGATCAATTTAATTTTGTAAATGCTTACTCTACATATGTAAAGATTGTATAGCTTGTAAGATGATGATGTACAAGTCTCAATATAATTCCTATTCTGATTATAGATATAAGGTAAATAATTAATCAGAAATTCAGAATTAAATTGCACACTAAATGAAAGTAGAAAAAATATCATTTTAAACAACGACATATAAACTCGTACATTACCTAGCTACATGTACGTATCACTAAATTTACTGTTTGTTATTATTATAATGAAATATTATCATAATTATTATTATTCAAGGTTTCGAAAGGTTTAAAAGTTTTATTATTATTATTATTATTATTATAATTATTATTATTATTATTATTACTGATAATGATTTTCTATATTAATTGTGAATGTTTTATTCCTAATTTTCTGTAAATATTTAAACTCTTTTTTGTATGTTGTTTGCTTTTGTCTTCAAATAATCCTAAAGATATTCTTTGTGCAAGTGTTCTCTGTGTTTAACATAAATTTTATTGCTTTATTATTTTAATGGCTTTTTCAGTAGCCATTATGTCCCATACAAATTTTATTAAGTCAATCAATATTGAAATATTTTCATATCTTATTTTGACTTGTGAGATAATAACTTAAATAAACCAGATTATTGTCATCCATTTTAATATATTTATAAAGATATAATAACAAAACAAATACAAATACACAAAATAATAAGTCTTACCTGTCTTGTCTTCTCACAATTACTGAACAAATACATGTTTACTTTTCCTGTTTATATACTTAATACATATCCGTTTTTTATTAACAAACATTCAGGGATATTCCAAAATCTTTTTTCCCACAATCTTTATGTCCTGAAAAGTATTATTATTATGCATGAGGCATAATACAATCATCATTATCATCATCACGATTATATTTGAAAATGATATCGATTATGAAGAATGTGACGATATTAATGGTTATAAATGTTGTTGATCGGATTATTGTGCTGATTATAACAATAATAATGTTAGCGACGATAATTATGATGATTATACTGGTGATGTCGACAATGATGATAATGATTATTCATGATGTTGATTGATTGATATGTGATGATTAATAATGGTGAATAATAATGATAATGATTATGTTAATGATGATTGATGATGATGATTGATGATGATGATTGATGATGATGATGAATTGAAACTGATATTGAAAGGTGATGATTTGGTGGTGGTGATGATGATGATGATGATGATGATGATGATGATGATGATGATGATGATGATGATGATGAATTGAAAATGATAATGAAAGGTGATGATTTGGTGGTGATGATGATGATGATGATGATGTACTATCAATTTACTAAAAACAATTATAAAAGGAATGATATTTATGGCCAACCCTTTCAACAAATTATGCACTCTGTTAAGAACAACAACATCCTGTTTTGTGGTATACCGATCATTTTTTATACCATAAAATTAAAATTAAATTGCGAAATGAAGAAAATTCCGGTGATTGCCGAAAGCATCAGGAAAACATAAACATAATAACGACAAACAAGTTAAGGGATTAAATTTATCCATTTAACAATAAGTTGAATTTTAATCATTTTGTTTGTTTTTGTTTGTTTGTTGTTGTTGTTGGAACCACGTTTAAGGCACGTTTACTTAATATTCTTTCTTTGCAAAATACATTCATTTTACCGTTCACAATTATTTGTTTTTACAGAACATACATAACAATAATTAATTGTAATGAAAAAATGAAAAAAAAAAGCGAAGTCTACGCAGAGAAGGAATGGTCAGATGTGCATTGCATACCTTTAGAAAAGCCTAGACGAATGTCTGTTGGGTAGCGTTACGACACGAAAATACCATTACGTCTGTACTAGTGGTACTCGTTTTATTCTGTGTCTTGACGGGTACCCCTCAGTCAATATCGTAATGTACCAGGAATCCGACACCATGTGTGTCGTAATCGTTTATCATTATGCCTTGGGCATTAATTAATAATATCCCGATTTAACGATTTATAAACTTTAAATAAGCAAATTACCAACGATAAAACATCAAATTTGAGCATAAACGTAGATTATTAGACATTAAAAACCCGTTACTGAATCTAACCAAAATAAAAGATCACCCGTCTGATCTCGCATTACTATATTAAAGGCAGCTATTTAGGTACCTGAAAAGAGAAGAACTATGTCCGCTCAGCACTATCCAAATTATCTCAAAAGAAAAAAAACAGAATTTTAAAAGATTTTTTTTTTCAAATCGAACTTATTTCCTTGTTTGAAAAAGTCAACAAATTGATAAATTGTAAAAAAATCAGATGTTTCATGACATTGCAATGCAACAACTCTTGTGCCAAATGCAAAACAGGTCCCCTTTAGGTTGAGACAACCTGCTTACATATGATTTAATTTTAGCCTGGTTCCACGATATCAAATTTCGGCAAACTACAGAAAGTGGTAAAGTCCATTATTCGTATACGTAGATAAGAAAACATTGATTTGAAGAAAACGTAAAATAAAAATATTTTGTAACAAAGCCGGAAATTAAAAATTCATCATAAAGTTTAAAACTGGTGTATGTGAATGTTTTCATGTATTTGTATTTTTATTGACGACTCGCAAAATAAATCGCTTCCTTCCGCAAAACATCATGCGTCTTATTCAAAATCTATGACATAATGCCTCAGAAATACTACCATTATTTATTTTTCAAAAACCTTTTATTTTTGGTATTTTGTTACAGTTTTCAACAAAAATATTCATTTACCTTAGATTGGAACTATCTCTTGTTTTTTTTTTATCTGTAAGGAATTGGTATATTTCAGGGGCGTAGCTAGGCCGAAATCGATATTACGCTTAATATACCAATTCCTTACTTTATAATGAGTTAGTATTTTGTATGGAAGTAAATCATTTACATTAAGCTAAATTTACAACATATCACTGCACGTTCAGCGCTATTTACGTCGGTTGTTAAACTTGTAATATGCTCAAAATGCATTATTAAAATATTATTAAACGCCTGTTTGAGATTTTTAAGAATTAAAAATGTATTACTGGGGCATAATATGCTATTAAGGCATATGTACGTTAAGAAATTTGTTCGAAATGTATTGCGGTACAAAATGTGATAGCTAAACAGACTAAATCAGAACATTTTATTTTAGAAAAGTGGAAGTCACGACATAGTGACGTTCTAGATTCGTTAGTAGAGTAAGGCCCGATATGATTTTACATAAATGACAGAAAGGATTGGATACCCGAGTAGAACACCCATTTTTTACAAGCTTAATAGATGAACCAAAATGTACTTTTAAGCTGCATGCGTCCAGATAAGCAAGAATATTTTAAGAAAATCAAACTTTCATGTAAAAAAATATACTAAAAAGTAAACGTTTAAAAATTAAAGCAATAATTGACTTTATTGTGCGATTTATAACTAATTTAGCAACTTTTATTACCATATTTCTACTGCGTCACTAACGCAGTAAGGTCTGTTTTTGCATCTTTCAACCTGTTAGTTTGGTAATTTACGTGGATTGGAAGTGACATTACAATGTGTTAATTAACTCATTGTTCACATCTCAATATGATACATTTAAATACATTTTCATGATTTTTTTTCCTTTAAAATTATTCACCAAATTCGATTCAAAATCTGGCTTATAGAAAATAATGCAAAGGCAACCACTTTAGTTTAAACTTTATTTATTCAAATTGACATCCACAAACATTTCACAACAAGGTAATTCAGACTTGATTGGAAACCAAGGAAAACAATACTTATATCAATTCCTCTCCAGTAAAAGTAATTTTCAAAATAAAGCTGTAAAGAAGAATAAAAGAATAAATGATTGTTGAATAATCAAATTATCACTATAGAGAAACTAAGGTAAGTTATGGAGAAATGCTAGAAGAAAGGAAGAATGTAAGGAAAGATATGATTGAATATATCCGAAATTTAATACTAAAGATTAACATGTAAAGAAATATGAGCGTTCGGAAAGGCCAGTTTTGTTTTACACTAATAGTAAGTCTTACAAAATGCGCTTCGATTGTGTAATAAATTTTTGGATATTCTGAAAGAGGGTTTTATATTTCTTCGCTGCCGTAAAGAGTTATTTACTGTAGCCGGACAATTATTTAAATGAGTGTGAAATCGTTGACGTATGTTTCTGTATTTTGTACTTTGCAATAAAAAACGAGATACAGTTTCTCTCTTTCCGCGTGTGCATGTTGGGCCGCAATAGACCGTCTGAACAGATCTGCATTTAATGCATCCTAATCTTAATCTAGTTTGAAGGATTTGACCTTTACGTGTGCTTGTATTATAGTAAGACGGTGGTTTTTTGATATTTTGAGTTAATTTGGACTTGAAGGAACTTACAGTTTGACTAGATCGAAGTGTTTTAGGAAGAGAATTCCAGGTGCGAAAAGTAGAAGGTAGAAATGATTTTGAATATAAATGTGTTCTGGTTGGAACTGGAGTTAAAATATGATAAACAAGATCAAGAAGGAAAGGCGGCGTTCAATGAACGCAACCCCATCGTCAATATGACTAAGGTTATATGTACTTTGTTGGGTAGGAGTTAGAAGATTCGAAAAATAAGATGATGCATTGTATATGGTTTTTCATTTTATACAATAAGATTAATTTGTGTATGTTTCTTCTACATGCTTACGATTCCCATCCGAGTTCACTGACGAGTTTGTTAATGTTACACAGTGTCGTAGCGCCTGCGACTATTCTAGCTGCTTCATTTTGAACGGATTCTATTTCCTTATTTAAATCTTCAGTTATGTTTTCCCAGACTACAACAGCATATTCAAGAATTAGGAAGACCAAAGATTAATACATGTGTTCTAAACTTTTTCGTGATAAAAGAAATTTAAAACTTCTTGATAGTCCAATTCTTTTCAGGCCTTATCAAATAATAGATTAAAATGGGTTTTCCAACGGGCATCATGAGATTAAGTTACACCAAGATGTTTATGTGATATGACCTGGGTTATTGGATATAGTTATAATTAAGAATAGAATGAGACGGTTTGGATAATTTCCTTGAAAAATAATTATTTTTGTTTTATCTGGATTAAAAGAAACAAGCCAAGATTTTGCCCAGTAATGCATCCGAATAAAGTCTACGTTAAGACTGATTGCTGCGGTAGGTGGATTATCTACGACTTTATACAAACTCGTGTCATCCGCAAAAAGTTTTATGTTAGAAGATATGCAATTTACGATGTCGTTGATGTTGACAAGAAAAAAGTGGATCAAGAATTGAGCCTCGAAGGACACCTGCGGAGATGGAAATCCATGCTGAGTATACATTTCGGTACTGATAAAAACTTTTTGGCTGAAGTATTACTTATATTGAGACGGTGTGCCGAACACAAGTTTGGACTTCATACGATCAAAGTTGGCCCCGCCCCGGGGTTTTACTTATAACGGATTTTCCTAGTCCGGTCTTTATCTTTTGAACCGGCGGAAGGAAATCGAAACTACTTGGCAGAAATGTAAAACAATAATAGACGATGAGCAGAGCGCAGGTTTGACCTTTCTCAGACCCAGATCAAGGTCACACTTAGTCATTTTGTATCAATTTCAAATTTGTGTGTCCGCTCTGTTTCTTTTAAACCGAAAATATGAAATTAAATCTATTTGGCACAAATATTTATATCTTGTGATAATGTGCATAGCTCGGTTTTGGACAACATCAGGTCAAGGTCACACTGTCTCATTCAAATACTTTATAAAAGTGTATATATATTAGATGTACAAAGGGAGATTACAATGTATGAATTCATAAATATGTTTCCCTCCCTATATATATATATGAATTAACCTCCCTTTTTCCAAAATATTTTACTTTATAATGTCTTTTGTATCAAATTTCATATATTTTAATAATTGAGAAGCTTTTATATGTTTACATGATTTAATTATTTTGAAATAAGACAATTTTATTAATTTACACTGATGTTACTTAAGATATGTAAATTCATTTAAATAACAAAAAGTTGTAAATGAGGCATATGAAATCTTTCAAGGTAATTTATTAAAACCTTGGACATGAATACTGTTTTGCTATATTGTGGACAGTTTATCTCTAATTGAAAGACTGTTATGGATTAAAGGGCTACATCATGTAAAGTGCTCAACTTGTCTGATACATTAAAACAAAATAGTACATATTCATAGGAAGCAATACCAATATAATTAGTTTAGCCAATGTCTACCTTTGCATTTTGAATTGCTGAATGTTAAAAGCTTTAAATCAAAGAAGGTAAATTATAAGAACACATTTTCATATGCCCAAACATTTTATTTAATATGTTAAAGCTTAGATATTTTGCATGAGGCATCCCTTGTTAACATCTACAAAATCTATATAAATCATGCTTCTGGGGTCAATATTGGCCCTGTCCCAGGAGTCACATATATAGAAAATCTTATTTTCTAATATGTATTATTATGAATTCCAGATCTTAGTTATTTGGAAAGTATCATTGCACAGAAGAACCCTGCAATTGTTTCAAAAATCATTTTACTGATATTAGAAAATGGTTGTGCGGAGTGGGTTTGTGCGGGGGTGGGGTTAGGTCCGGAACAGTTTACATATACACAATTTATATAGCATACATGTTTTAAAAGTCTTTTCCTCCAAGATACAATACGCAGAGAGCACAGATTTTTAGCATGTATCACCACTTTGTTAAAGTAGAATTATCAGTTTTGTGATAAAAGTTTGTGTGAGTATTGATGTTATAAATGTAGGTAATAAAGAGGTGGAGGTAATAAAAAAAGAAAAGTATTTGTAAGCATAGCCTTTCAATTTTTTATTATTCATAGGCATATTAATTTGTGCTTTTAAACTTCTGGAATAATAGTATTAGATATATGTTTCTTTGAATTTTATCTTTTACAAAACAACATTATTGTTGTTTTCAGTCAGTATATATACTCCGTGACAATTGCATGGAGATAAATAATCACAGCACTGTACTTCAAAATTAGTTTCTTAGGGCAAGGCTGTTGACATGTCTGAGGTATGTACTCCATAGATAAAGCTGTTACATATATAATGGTCACTAAATATTAATGTTACAAGAGCATAGCTCTTTTGGATGTATCAATATAGATCTTAATATCGATAATTGAAATAAAACATGTTTTGTAAAAATGTTATAAATGGGTATCCTCTCTGTTTAAAAATTATTTTGATAAATATAAATTTTATTTACTTTAAACAAATTTACATTTGGGCGTATATTGCCACGCCTCTGCGGTGCTCTTGTTTGGCTTTTTTGTGAAGTTTGGCTCGTTTTCTGATTAATTCACGTATATTGTTATTCACTTAAGGGATATCACCTGGTCTTATTGTTACTTTTTTGTAAGGAATAGTTTAAGATGCTACTTTGATAATTGTTTTAGATAAATGACTCGTCTTCATTGTCATTAGATAAAAGAGAATGCAAGTCTGATGACCTTAGTTTATCTATGAAAGTGTTGTAATCACCTTTATCATAAAGCCAAATACGTCTATTACTCTGCTTTGGTTAACTTAATTTGAGGACTGCTACAACAGGACAATGGAAAGGTGTGAGATCAGGAATAAAGGGATCGGCTACAAAGCTAGTGATAACAGTTTGAAGTTACTCAACAAATATGAGGTATATCAAGAAAGAAGAATATTCAGTGAAGTACGTTGGAGATGTGATAAGTTGTCCTCCATTATAGGATGCAATAAGTCTAGTCATCTTATTTAAGCATGACGTCTGAGTATTGATATTGAAATCACCTGCAACAATTATGTGTGTACAGAGAAAACGCGGTCGACACTTGTCCAGGAGTTGCCAGTATTCATCGTTTGAGTCAGGTGGTTGACCACCGAAAAGAAGTTTTTGGAGTGAATAAGGATTTCAACCCAAACTGCCTCAAGTCTGTTTATATGGAATTCCTGCCGAAAGTCAACGTTAATCCCATCTCAAACATATATTGCTACACAGTCACCCACTCTTGCAGTTCTATCACAACGATATGAGAGGCTAAAGTTTGTAATTATGAGGTATTCGTCGGGAGTATTAGGGGAAAGATTTCCGTGAATACAAGTAACTGTTGAGCATCGATTTCAATAATATCTTACTTTGGCTTAAGGCTTTGAACATTTAAATGCATAAGGCTAAAACCACAACTGGTGATTTGTTGGGATGACGAGTGATGACAGAGAGGAGTCGCTAGAAGGAACTGTGCCAGGACTTTGATGAACATCACCAGACAATGTAAACAACAGATTTAGGAATAAGAATGTCAGCAGATCTTTATGTAGTATGTTTTGTTTGTGATATTTAATATAGTGAACGGTTGCAAAAGAGTCGAAGGTGGTACAAGTAAGACAGCAGCGTGATAGTGGATCAGTGGCTGATATCATGGGGATAATCGAAGATGTCAGTGAAATGGGCCGCCGCTTTGACAGTGTGGAATGTCTTTGTGGCTTTCCTACGCGCACTTTGACAACTAGACCAGTATACAATATTAAATATATTTTGTGGCACATAAGTACTTATATCATGCAAAATAAAAACAACTATTCATTCTTATAATATAAATTTATTTCTTAAATTGGTGTTAAAGTATCAACCACTTCATAGCAACCAATTGATACATTTATTTTGTATTACTTGTAAAATATTTTTTTATTTCGCCAAATGTTCATTAGCAGCCATTTATCATCTCCCAATCGTATAAGTGTTTGTATGATACTTCAAACATGTCATATGTTGAGCCTTGAATTGGACAATACCAGTTCCAACCAATTACTTCGCGTGCAGAATCTGTTATGTAACTCGTGGAACAGTTGTCTTGTATCTATAAAGTAAAATTTGATGAGCTTAGCAAATAATTAGTATTCATAAATTTTCATATAAATGTCGAGCTAGCTAGTCAATATGCCATAGAGTACGAGTACGTAGAACCAGTATTCTATGGAGCAAAGCTTGACGTCAAGTATAATAACATTTTGCAAAAGGAAATTACATGTATTAATGTTGGAGTTTTTATGTTTCATTAATCAAATAATTTGCAAACCCGTTTGGATATAATCATATTGTCTTCAACACGATCTCTTAGCATTACATAGTCAGCCCACCTCTTTCCTGGACAAGATTCAGAAGTATCTATGTCCGCTTCCCGTAGCAAGAAATTATAAATGTTGCGATTATTTGCTGATCAGTGTGCAATTGGTTAATTCATTTTTGAAAATGAATATGAATTATTAAAGATAATCGCCTTGTGGATTTTTTTTTTTTTTACATTACATACAAAAGATATACCTCGCTATTTTCGCTAATATAAGTGTCCGTGTTCTCCATCGAATGCGATAAAATATAATTTGTACGAAATATGACACATATACTTATTACCTCTGTGACAATATCCTTGCGGATTTAGCATATTGATCAGGTTTATTTGCTTTTTACCTAAGTTATACGTACCTGCGTATACCTAGCTACGGACATGACTGTCTTTATTAAAATGTTGCACTGAACCAAAATATGAATTATTATTATCGTATTTACCTCTTGCCCATTAAACTCCACACGAACACGTCCATGTAATGCATAACCTATCTGAGTAAAGAGACATCTGTTACAATTGCAGTCAGTGATCTCGAGTCTACTTATATCACGAGCAGGTCCTGCTAGAGCCGCTCCTACCAACATCAACATATATGCTACGCACAGTTTCATTGCTGTAATAAAACATATATTATGTAAGATCCTTTTGCGCAAAAAGGTAAATAAGTGATTATAAATGCTTTTTAATATCAATCACAACATCAAATGTACTAAAATGTCAGTAAACAACCCTATTTAACAATGTTTAGTTTGTCCTACGGAAAATGAGATTATGAGATTATGATAGCAATTCTGCATAAGGATTCATTTGAGCCAATGATAATAAAACAGAATGACTGATTTAGTCATTTAGTTTGTCGAGGAGACTCAATAAAAATCAAAGCGTCGCCTAGATACATAGCACTGGCGTCGTCAAAGTTCAATTGAAGAAATTGTTGTCCCGAAGTAAAACAATAATAACTTAAAAATAAGTAAGTTCTGACTTGTTTTAAACAAAAATAAAACAAGGTAAAATAAGTGTTATAAACAGTCGTTATGGTTCGCTTAAATAGTTCAATTGAAAGGCTGTATGACGATTGATTTTTTTTAATTAAAATATCTCAAAAAAATGTCGAAATTACCTGTTGCTTCTCTTCAAGTACATCCGAGCAAACTACAATAGAAGCTTTGACTTTACACTTATATCGATCATGTCACAAACTAAGGGTTGTCAAAAACGTTCTGGTGAAATTTTAAGCGCATATTCATATAGGTGTGTACAGATTTTCTGATCAAAGATCCAATTTTATTAAATAGTTCAATTTCAAACACCTTCTGAAGAAAGAAAATATCAAATTTAGATATACATGTACGTAACATAAATACCTTCCAACGTATGGACAGATATTTTTGCATTATAATATGAAGTTATTGACGTTCATGAATATAATTTTGTTGATGCATGTTATAGATGTTGCCGGAGAAGATATATCAGTTAAAAAATTTTGACGTGTACTTCTAAATTTAGATACAACAACAATTAACAAGAAAAGCTTTGATGCAAATCATCAAAGGCGACGCCAAAAGATATTTGATCACGAATTGCTTCCAAATACTTAACTTTAGACGTGACCTATATATCAATACTATTACTTGTGACCAGGAGGTTAGGGCCCTGCTTAAATTTAAACTTGGACCCAAAAGAATAGACTCTGTCTTGCAAAGATGCAAACACAATTTATTATCATTAACCAATCATTAATAAGACTCATGTCATAAGAGAGAATTTCTTCAACTTTAGATTAATCTTTTCCAGATACAAGGATACTGAATCAACATCAACGCTGCATATAACACAAGCTTATTGCTTATGATTGCTGACATGTCAATGACATATCATTAGAAATAAAAAAATATCTAGAATGAACCCTGGGGGACTTTACTGGTAATGGGGGCAGTAGTAGAATGAATACCAGCCACATCCGCCAGTTGCTGTCTTTCAAAGAGATTTGACTTTAATCATGCTAGAATGTCATTATCAATTATTGCCTAAGTCCATTCCAAATCTTATATATGATTGTTAAATGAATCAAAAATGTGTCAGTTGAAAGAAAAACTTCTATAGCCTGACTGAAACTGATAAAACACACCCCTAGCTGTCCTTAAAATTAGATTCAACTTGGTCATATGCAGCTTTTTCAATAAAAAGTTAGGACATTTTCTTGGAAGGCAATCCTAAATCCTTTACGGATTTAGAATTATTCTAATTTTGTTCAAGGGTATCCAGTAAGAAATTCTTTTTTGCATTACATAATATGACTGCTTAAGTATTATTTCTCAAAGATTTAAACATTTACAAAATTTTCACCCTAAGAATACCGTAATGCAGCTCTACCAACTGAGCTATCCTGCAACTTGTACATTATCTCCCCTAAATAGCGAACAGTTCTTACTCATAATATATTTCCCCGCTATAATGAAATTCTTCCTCGAACTTCTCAGGGTGAGAAAAGTGTGCAGCCTGACCATAACTTGAAGCTATGGCCATCAGAATACCCTAACGCAGTATCTGGCCGCCTGCACATTATTTTTAAACAGTCAATAGTTTTAAACTGTAACATATTTCCCACTATGTCATCGCTTCAGGGGTAGAAATGGACTTAGGTCGGCCATTTTTTAGTTATTAAAGGTATACTAAGTTTAACCTATTTTGAAGCATTTTAAAATTGAATTTTAAACGTTTAAAACTTTGTATTTCTGTGTATGTTAATTATTTCGAAGGGTAAAACATTTGCTCTTTTATTAAATTAATTAATCAAATTGCATTCCATATTGACCAACCCTCTTAACAACTTGTTTACAATTAAAGCTCACGTACACACATTTTTCTCCCTTTAATCGTTTGTTGTTAATATTTGTAAAAAAAACCCTTTACAAATCGCAGTTTTTTTTTAAATCATTATCTTTTACATCGCATCAGGAAAAAAATAAGATGAAGTCAATGAAAAGGTTAAAACTTCCCGGTATATCTTTGTGTTTGTAGATGTAGATGATTGTTTAAGTTTCATACAGTAATCTGTGTCAAGGTGTCAATCTATTTTTTTTTTTATGTTCATTAGAAAACAGGTATGTGCCTTAAGGTATGACCATCCTATAGCATTGCCTCCGCTTTGAAAAGTATTCAAATATGCTTTAGAAATAAAACTTAGGCCCTAGAACATGCAGAAGGGTCAACATTTTTTCTGTTTTTATTTTTCTTTTATTATTTTTTATGTATCTCTAACACTCTTTTGGGAAGAAAAAGTGTTTAATCTTAATTATATAATTAATTTTAATATAGATATTTAATGACTAAATATTGCATTATCTAATATGGTATCTGATATTTTCAAAGTCAAATAAAATCAAAACTGCACGTTTAAAGTATTTAATATTTAACAAGGTCAACTCATAAAGTTTCGAGAAAAAAATAGGGAAACTTTGAAAACAGCCCCCATTAAACTCAATTTAAGCGGGTTTTTTAAGTGCCCGTAAAATACATGTTAAAATGGGTGTGGTAGTGCATTATATGTATACAAATTTCATAATTCTTTAGTAGAAACAATAATTTTTGTTGTAAGGATTGTTAGCTGAATGTTATTTTTTATTTCTTAACAATAATTAATGGGAAAATATATGGGATGATATTATAGATTATTTAAAGGTTTCTTATTTCTGAAGAAATGATCTTCTAACATCCAAATCTAAGTTCTGAAAAGTGGCCAAAGCTGTACTGTAAAATGTGTTTAAAATGTGCATGCAGGTGTCTTTTAAAGCATATATCTGACGTATCTTGTCAATGTTTCAGTTTTTTATAGGGCCCGTTACGGTGGTTGTACCTTAAATCTAGCTAACATATATTAAAAATAAACAAATTGTGTGTGGGTCATTTAACTGAAAATACAAAATACTGAATATTTGAATTTCATAGGTAAACGAAATGTTATTATCGTATATAACTCATAATTCTATCGGGAATTATCTACGGTTTTGGACTGGTGATTTTCAGAGCAAAGTGTGCATTCTTATCTGCTTAAAATTGCCGGAAACCTCAGACATACATTTATAAACGTTTCCATTAGGCCTACTCTACATAATACTAGTATTTGCGCAAACATTTAGTAGTCTGTTCAATTATTCTCGAAATCACAGAAGGGGCATGCCGATTCTTTTTTTTTTCTTTTTTGTATCTCATGGCCACGAGATATAACTTAGAAAAAACAGCAACAAAAATGCTATTTCGTGGCCACGTGCTACAACTCCGAAAAAAAGACGAAAAATAAAATGCTCTCTCACACAAAGTTACACCTTTGATAAAAAATCATTTCGTCGTGACGACGAGATATAACTCAGAAAAAAATACTAATACTCAGAAAAAAGGAATACAAAATGCTATCTCGTTCCCACGAGAAACAACTAATTAAAAAAAAATCTTTCTCGTGGCCACAAGATATAAATCAGAAAAAAATCGTCTTTTTTTTTTTCGTCTCAACGAGATAAAACTCAGAAAAAACACATCAAAATTTGCTATCTCGTAGCCACAAGATATAACTTAAAAAAAGGGGTTTTTGTTTGTTGTTGATTTTTTTCTGAGTAATATTTTGTGGGATATATTTTTTTCCTGGGATATTTATCGTTGGAACGAGATAGCATTTTTTTCTTAATTATACCTCGTGGCTACGAGATAGGGATTTATTTTATTATGTTTGTTTTTCCCCCCCCCCCTTTTTTTTTTTTTTGGTTACATTTCGGGGCCATGAGATAGGACAAGAAAAGAACGTAAGAAAGAAAATCGAAATGTCCCATCTGTGCTTCCGTAAGTAAATGAGTGATTTTTTTTTGATAGTTTGTATACGTCACAATATTTTCAATTAATGACTTTAGTCATATTCAGTCTATTATTTCATAAAAGGGAAAATTCAAATAATGATACAGAAATCATAAAATATCATATCACAATTAATCATTGTATGTTGATGAGGTGAATGTTATCCTAAGTCATCATAAGTGTTAGTTATAGATAAAATAAGAAATAGCCAGCTCATCTGTATTTCTGTACTTTGATTTAGTACTTTCTCTTTTGTTTTTCTTTTTTTTAATATCTGCCGTTTTTAGCGTCACAAATGTGAAAATAATGTGAGAAGAACGGGATGAATCTCAGTATCTTTCACTTTCTCTTAAAAATGCAAGCTACAAGAACAAAAATATCAATCAGAACATTTCGGCTATTATCAATAATAACCTTGGAGTGAATACGGATTGAATGTAGTTCTACCACATTGTTTTAGATGCAAAAGAAAACAGAGGGTGTAATCTTTGATAATGTATACGAATGTATATATTTGACATCAAAAGGAAAATAAAGTTTATCTCGGTTGAATTATGATTGAACACTTGTCTGATAATCATAATCAATTAAAAATACTCACGTATGTACAGTTATAATCAAATCTGACAATTTTGACTTTTGGTTTCCACAACCATGATAATAACTATATAAATAATGTACTGTTTCATGTTATATCTATAAATTTACATAATTTAGGTGGCCTTTTACTCGATATAGTTGTATAAATATAATCCGTATCTCCTAGCATTAATTACTATTTGTTAACATGATTAGTTTCTTAGCGTAGGTCAGACCGAAATTTTTTATATGTTCCGTGTGTTTTTACTATTGTGTTCGGTGTCCTTATCCGAAGACTGACGGAAAAACCAATAAGTTGCGATTGCAAAATATAAAAGGTGACTTACTAGATTTTGTTTGTATAGGGAACGTTGAGATTGGTATTCGAGTAGAATACCCAATTTTCACAGACTAGCTAGATATATTTCCTTTCTCACATGATATAATACAAGATAATTTGCTGAATTAAAACGCCATTGTGACGAGTTGCAAGTACTTCAAAGTAAACAAATTTATATGCTACACTATTGAGGTCTCAAACATAAAAAGACCTTAAAAACAAAGTATCGTGCAAGACAAAAGTACAACCTGTTGTATACATTTTTTAATAATTAATTAGTTTGTACCATTTGTAAAACTTTTTATTTAGCCGAATGAACTACATGGTGTTCCAGAGCATCTATGTAGTATCACTCTGTCGAAGGTCGTACCACATTGAAGATGCCCGTAGTTATATGATACTTCAAATATTCCACTTGACGAGCCGCTAATGGGGCAGTTGTAGTTCCAACCGATTACTGAACCTCCAAAAGTTATAATAGCTTCATCAGAACAACTTACCTAAAATAAATAATA